GCTTTTTCAAAAGCTTCTACCTTCTTGATGTCTTCAGCATCATATTCTTCCTCCTTCTTTGGGATGGTGATTTCACCAACCTTTTTCATTGGCATAGTCTCACCATTTTTGATGATTAACCACAGTTGGAAGTTGATTGACCAAATGTAAATCCTCATTCTTTCCTTCCAATAGGTGTAGTTTGTTCCATCGAAGAGTGGAGGTCTAACGGTGGAGTGTCCTTCGCTTAATCCTGCATACGACATTCTCAACAAGAAAATATAGATCGTTCTCTCAACCCGTTAAGGCTTTTAGAGAGTTAGTCTCTGATACCAATTGTTAGAATAAGTGCCCTTCACTAGAGGGGGGAGTGAATAGTGAGGCACGAGAATGTTTATAAATTTTCGCGGAATAAAAATCGCAGAGATAAAGTAAAGAGCGGAATAAAAAGGAGTAAAGGGAGCACACAAAGATTTATACAGGTTCACCACAACGTGTGGCTAACCCAGTCTCCCGAGAGACTCTCTCGAGCTACACTACTTCTGTTAAGCTTACGGGTGCTTAACAAACCGTTACAACCTGAGAACTCAAGTCCCACGAGCCTCAACAACACTTGCTCGGAGATACCGCACTCCAAGACTTCAACACGAAGGAAAATACCTTTCCTTCGTACAACCAAGAAAAAAAAAGCTTCCCTAAACGTGTTTACAACACTAAGAACACTCGAGAACAAGACTCTCTTTAAGAGTAGATGTTGAGTAAACTATATACGCTCAAGAACAACTCAAACTTCACAAATTGGCTCTAGAAAGCTATGGAAAATAATGTTGTTTGGATGCAATGATGATATGTGTAATGTGAAGTGAATTGGTGTGTAAAGCAGACACAAACACCCCTTTTTATAGTGCCAAAGTAGGCTCCAGCGGATCAAAACATTTAAGGGGTGATTAGCATGATTTGTGGGATTGAAATTAAAGTGGATCTGCAGGAAATTAGCTTACCCAGCGATGTATGGAACTACCCATCGCTGGTAAGCCAATTTTTATTCAGTTTTGAAGGCAACGTTCACCTTCCCATCGATGGGTAAGCACTTCCCATCGCTGGTTAGGAGGTTGACTTTCAAACAAGGAAAGAATCAGGCTTAAATGACTCGCAACGGTCATGCCTAACCAGCGATGGGTATGCCCTCCTATCGCTGGGTTCCCATCGCTGGATAAAGGTTCCCATCGCTGGGTAAGGGCATTCTGCCTTGTGAAAATGTTGGACCAGGGCTTAAACAGCGATGGGTAGAACTTCCCATCGCTGTTTGGCATGGTTCTGGAAATCAGTTGAGCTGAAGGCTGCTTACCCATCGATGGGTAATATCTCCCATCGCTGGGTGGCATGATTCTGGAATCCCGGGATCACTTACCCATGGATGGGTGATATCTACCATCGCTGGGTAGATGGCTAGCCCAGAACCATGGCCTGACCGGCGCTGAAACCCAACCGAAAAATGCAAAGTTCTCCAAAGTAAAAACTAAGTGTTTCAAACACTTATTTAATGTATTTTATGTAGAAACCAAGGATAACAACTTAAAAACCACTTCATTAAGGTAAAAACCACGGCTAACCAAGTTTATGCCGTTTTGCGTGGTTTTTGCCAAACGACCAAAAACGAGAGGTGGTTTTTGAAGCGTTTTTGTTGGAGAACTATTTAAAATTGCCCAGAAGTAAAAACCAATCATAAAATATTGAAAACCACTTGGTTGGTTCGGACGCCAAAAACCAACGCCGATAACCGTATGCCGAACGCCGGTTTCTGAAAACCGAAAGCCAGTTTCTGAAAGCTGAACGCCGGATGACTTGGTTTTTGGTTTGGGCAAACATCAAGTGTTTTTAATGTATTTAAACATGCTTGAAAATCATTTTCATGATATGAGAAATGCAATAAAAGGTTTTAGCCTAAAGAGCCAAAGTGTAAGGCTTGGGTCGGTCTTGATCACATTTGTGACCGACTCAACGAAACTAAAACTATGGTCTTCGTTCTTGGTCTCTTTTAGCTCTTGTTCTCATCTTCATTTCTCGCCTTGTATATTCAACACTTTGTCTCGTTCACGGCGGTTTGGCATTATCAAAATCTGTCATAAAAATGAACACGGCTTTAGTACGATAAAGCGATAAACCCGTGTTTCAACATATTATACTCATTACTATTATTACTCTTTCTAGTATAGTCATGCCGCGGAGACGAGGACGCCCCAAGAAGAAGAAGACACTGAGCAAGACTCAGATACAACTGCGTCTGAGAGCAGGAAGGGGAACGATCAATCTGAATAGCAAGGAGGATCTTGAGAAGACACCCTCATCTGTTGGAAATGGAGATTTAGGAAAGGTTTCGGCTTTGGAGGATAAGGCTAAAAAAGCGGATCACCAGACCTGTATCTGGATGATAAACTAGATAAAGTTGATCTAGATCGTATAAGATTTATCGAGTTAGGTGAATTCTATGGTGTGGATCTATTTTAATTTGAAAATTTAATTCGAACGGTAGACGAAGTATCGTTTCATATTAAATAATTTTTTTAAAATGACGAAACGGTAGATGATCTACCGTTTCGTATTAGATAATTAATTTATGAAACGGTAGATCATCTACCGTTTGATTATTGATTCCTTCTAACAGCACTGATCCGGAATACTTTTTTCTTTTCTGCACTTTATGGGAACTAAATCCTAGCATTGCCTCTCATTTTTCCATCAAAGTTGTTGTGGCATTCAATTCAACTTTTTAGAATTTTTCATCAATTTGAAACAAAGACATAAAAAAAAGAAAAGTTAAAAAGTTGAATTATTGTATACAATTGAATAAAATGTGAGATTATTTTAAATTAGAATTAGATTGTTCAAAACGACGTCGTTTGCATATCCCACTCACTCAAAGAAAGCAAAGCACAAATCTGTTCTACATATGGGTACTCGCTTCTAATTCTTGCACGTGATCTATATATAGTCCAAACCCCATATACACGACTCTAAAGTTTACAAAAAAAAAAAGGTAAAAGCAAAAGGTTGTCTCTCTAATTTAGATAAGTGCTCGACAAAAAAAGGTAAAAGCAAAATTGTTTCACTTTGTAAAAGCAAAATTGCCCCTTTTTCATATCCCTATCTACATCCACGTGCCCCCACCCACCTTCCATATTCCATATCCACAATTCTATCCCATTCCCACCCACCTTCTCAAAAGCACTGTACAATATGGTAGAGTGTCGTATAGAGCACTAATAGCAATGGGGGTATTTGGGAAATTTTCTTTTTGATTTGACTTAATATTAAACTTGTCAAAAAAGGAATATTTTAATCTAAATGGGGACAGAGTGAGTAGTAAAAAGTAAAAATAAATATTGGAGTCTCGTACGGATCCAACAAGTTCGCGAAAGAGAGAGAGAGAGGCGACTTACTCCGGATTTAATTTCCGTTCGGTGAAGGAAAGAAAAAAGCATTCCCGTCTTAGGAATGAACGGTACATCGTGTACCGTTATATTAAAAAATTTTAATTAAAAATAGGTTAACGGTACTGGCTGTACCATTTAGTTAAAAAATTTATTTAAAAATAGGTTAACGGTACTGGCTGTACCATTTAGTTAAAAAATTTATTTAAAAATAGGTTAACGGCACTGGCTGTACCGTTAAGTTAAAAAAATTATTAATGCATATCCATCCCATCTTCAGCAGAAACAGTCCTTCCATCTTCGAAGAAACAGCCCCCTCCCATCTACATCATATAATCCACCTAACAAAAAAATATCTCATATAACACCACTAACCATCCTACACCATACAATCCACCTAACAAAAAAAAATATCTCATCTAACACCACTAACCATTCTACACCATACAATCAACCTAACAAAAAAAATATATCTCATCTAACACCACTAACCATCCTACACCATACAATCCACCTAACAAAAATAAATATCTCATCTATATATTTGTTGCTTAACTCTGATAATCTCACCATCGAGCTTTACCTCACATATCTACTCACTTCTCTCACAATCTCTTACCAAAAAATGGCCTCTGATGGTAGTTTTGTCTTGCTAGCCCACTGGAACGGTGAGATAATGATCAAGAACAATGATGTGGAGTACTCATTGCATTCAAACAAATTAAAGCCTTTGTTTTTTATCTTGATGTGTCATTCGAGGAGGTCTTCAATGAACTCCTCGATGCTATTGGTGAAGATAATTTCAATTCCATCAAAAAATTTTGGGGAAAATATCCCAAATACAAAGATGGAGTATATGCCGCTTCACGCCATTTCCCCATTTCCGAGGAGCGAACATGGAGGTGTTTCGTTCAAAAGGCAACAAAGCAATATGATGAACTTGAGGTTTACCTGGATGCACACCAAGTTGAAGTTTTGGCTCACGAGAATGAAGAAATGGAAGAAGAGCAAAACCACCAAGTTCATCACTATCACCACCACCAAGTTCATCAACACAACCAAGTTGATGAGGCGGGACCGTCTAACACATCGCAAGACATGGATGATGAAGATGACTCTGAGGATCCTACATACGTTGCTAATTCTAATAAAGAGAGTTCTTTAGATGAGTCTGAAGTATCTGGATGGGTCTCTATGTACACACCGGACGTGTACACAGAGGAGCCTATTAACGTTGCTAAACAAGGAATTCTAGATTTTCCGATCCATAGGCACGTTGAAGAAGTCTCACTACAACCAACGTTCCGTATCCCTGATCTCTGTTACGTTGATGGCACCCACTTGTATGGGAAATATAAGGGGGTGTTGTTGTTGGCAGTAACAATGACAACAAATCATGAGATTTACCCCTTAACTTATTCCCTTATTGACAAAGAAGATGGGGACACTTGGAGCTGGTTCATGATGCATTTAATGCATTATGTAGTACCTTTCGATAAGTTGGTGTGCATCATTTCTGATAGGCACGGGGGCATTGATGTAGCTTTCAATACTATCCCCCAGTTAATGGAACAACGTGTCACTAGGAGATATTGCCTGCGCCACTTGAGAAGTAATTTTCACAAGAAGTTCAATAGCAAAAAACTGAAGGGCTTGATGTATCATGCAATGAGTATCCCACATGTCTATGAACTCAATCGAACAATGCAACAAACTAAGTCTCAACGGGAGGAGGCATATGACTGGTTGTTGGCTTTGTAACGCCCCGAGAACCGGCTTAGTAGTTAGCCATTATTTTGATAAAAATAAATATTAAATTTATTTACTCAAAAACATGAATTAATTGTGAAGTTATCCGTTTTAAATGAAAATTGGGTTTTCGGGTAGATCTCGTAAAATGGTGACCAACGGTATATAATTTGTTAAAAATGGACATACGTATGAAGCGTGGTGAGTAAAATAGACATTACAGTTCAATAATTAAATATAAAGATTTATAATAATATAATAATAATAATAATATAAAAGAAAGGTACGCACGGTAATACTCCTAGTTGTGTTTGGATTTGGCCAAAACCTAGCTGCGTCTCCATATAATTACATCTATATGGAGTTATTTGTTTCTGCCACGGGAGAGAACGAACAGAACAGAGCCGCACGAAGGGGTCTTCTAATCGCCGCTGCTCCGCCGTGCGGCCCGTGCCGCCGCCGCCGTTCGCCGGAGGAGCTGACTGCCGCCACGAGCCGGAGGCCGCTGGGTAGCCGCTGCTCTGCTGCCGAGTTGGCCGACATCTTCTTTGAGAATTTGATTTGTTTAATTCGCCAATTATTCGAGGTCAGAACTTGCACATCTAACGCTAGATTTCGTATATATAGATTTGAAATTCACGTTCGTAGTTTCGTATGATTGATTACGTGGTTTAATTGTTATTAATTGAATTATGATTCTAAATTATGATTTATTGAAATTGATGAATCGATGGAGAACGAGGTACGTTCTCTACCCCTAATTACGTGATTACATGTATCATTAGCCCTACGTATGTTAAATTATTGTTAATCAATGAATCAAGGAAACATGCTTTATCTCTGTTGGAATTCCCGACCTACTGTAAGGTAAAACGAACCAGACGGTAACAAGGTACCGATCGAACGGTACCGAGGTATCGTACCCCAATCCCGTGAGCTGCACTACTACCGGTTGCTGAAGCTCGACGGTACACTAGTACCGTGCCGACGGTACCCAAGTACCGCCTGGCGATACCTAGGTACCGTGACGGGTACCGTACCAACAGTAGGAATCTCGTTATTTGTTTGTTTGATCTGATTTAGAACCCGAATTGACTCTGAGCCCTTATGTGTTGCATGACGGTAAATGAAAGGTGTTTACACCCGACATTAGGCCGCCATTTGGATTGCATGGTGATTTATTTAGCTACTTCTACTCTCTTGATTTGTTGTAAATGTGGTGTGATATGCCTTAAACGGATAAAGTAAATTGAGGTTATTGTTAGCTTGGATCTGATTAATTAAAGTAAGTGAATGACGTAGGTTACCTAGAAGAACTCTAGGACTATTTTGTGAGAATTGAGATTGTGAATTGACAATAGGTTGTAGAGCCTTGTGGACTTAGTCCAGTGGCATTCAGGTAAAGATGTACGTACATGGAATCTGGGATCTGATCCGTAGGATTGGAGGTTCCACCCAACCGGCGCCGTAGGTACCGGGTTGACCAGAATCATGGCCGTAGGTAGTAGTTCTGATGTCGTAGAATAGACTTTGAGTCATGGCCGTAGGTAGTGGCTCTAAGTCTTAAGACGATACGAATGTGGATAATGAGGAATTGGCCTTAGCCTAGTATAGGTTATGAGCTAGTATTTGTTATGAGCTATTGTAAGAACTTGAATGTTGAATTTATAACTTATGTAGCTGAAGAATTGAGGTGAGTAATATGTTGCGTGAATTATTGATATTCTTGATGTTATAAATGTTGTACTTATGTGCATGATATTGTATGGAATTATGAGCTAGTGGGTTCGTCTCTGTGCGTAGTCGAACGTTAGATAGTTCTCACTTAGCTTCAATGCTGAGCGTGTAGCCCTTTTTCCTATTTGCTACACGTAGGTAAAATGAATGATGAATAAGGAACTGTTCTGGAGCGCAGCGGGGGCAGAGAGGTGGATGGATGCTGGTTGGAGGAGCTATCTAGTTTAATTAATGCATTTGAATTAATTATGTTTTAAGGGCAAGAACCCAAAGTTGTATTTGTATTAAGCTTCCACACCGTTTTGTTAACTCTGATGGATATTTAAATATTGTTTTGAATTAAATGTTTTTAAATTGTTTCGGAAAATTATTGTGTCAGAATGCCAATTTAGTGACAACCCGATCTGCTGGTCCTTGTATTTGGGTCACGCGGGTTGGGGTGTTACAGGCTTTGCCATTAGAGAAGTGGGCACTCTGTACCGATGGTGGGGCTCGATATGGAATCTTGACCACTAATCTTTCGGAAAGCTACAATCACGTGCTAAAGGGAAGTCGGTCTCTTCTGGCATACGCTATTGTGAAGACAACGTACGAGCGATTAGTAAAATTATTTGCAGAAAAGGGTACACACGTATTTACATGGCTACAAGCGGGATTTAAGTTCCCAAAATATATTTGGAACGAGGTGAGACGCATGGAAGACCATCGTTTACATTGCCATGTTATCCCCCATCATCTGCAACAAGGGATTTATCGGGTCGTTGTTGAGGGCAATGTTGGAGCTAGCGGTAGATTAGATGAGATTGTCGTGCAACTGGGCCAAAAAATGTGCAGTTGCAGGAAATGGACCACATTGCACATGCCATGTGTGCATGTCTACGCCGTATGTCGTTATTGCAACATTACAGTTGATGATCTCATTCCACGAGTGTTCTCACTTCAGAATTACCTCGATGCATATTCTGGAAGTGTTATGCCACTACAAAATGAAATGGAATGGCCTACTCTCGATTACGAATTAGTCCGACCAATTACTGGGCAAATGTTGCATGCCGGTCGTCCAGTGAGCACCCGTTTCACAAATAATATGGATATGCGATCACGAAGGCATCATCGGGATACTTAGTTAATTTATAAATTTCAATGTGGAATTTTTAAATATGTTTGACAACTTTTATTTGTATGCTTTTTATTTCAGTAGTAGTGCATCAAATAAATAAAAATTTTATTAATGTTCAAATTTAATGCGTATTTCTAAGGAATGAAAGTATTAAATTTAATATTTATAGATAATCCAAGGCTTAACGGTACTGGCTCTACCGTATTTACTGTATTTTAAACTTTTTATTCTTGTATTAATTTGGATGCTAAAATCTTTATTACTCTATTAATTTGGATGCCTATGTACTTTATGATATATCATCTAACACCACTAAATATCCTATACCATTCAATCCACCTAACCAAAAAATATCTTATTTAACACCACAAAACATCCTACGCCATACAAATCACCTAAAAAAATATCTCATCTAACACTACTAAAATATCTCATTTACCACTAAAATATCTTATCTACCACCATACCCGTTTCACAAATAACATGGATATGCGATCACGAAGACATCGTCGTGGTACTTAGTTAAATTATAAATTTCTATGTGGATTTTTTAACAGTACGAAAACTTTTATTTGTATGCTTTTAATTTCAGTAGAGCGCATCAAATGAATAAGGATATTATTACTGTTCAAACAGGGCCGGTCCAATAGGGGGACAGACAGTCCATCCGGGCGGGCCTAAAAAATTAAGGGGCCCAATTTGTTTTTTAATATTATATATATATATATGTATATATCATATGCATAAGAAGCCCAGCCCAATTCATCCTCTTCTCTTGGTTACTGGACTACTGGAGAGACACACAAAAGAACCGGAAGGCAGGGACTGAGGCACGACGGAACTGACGGAAGAACCGACGAACTGACGAAGACAGGACTCAGATACGCCGCTGCCGCCGCCACCAGACGCACCGCCGGACGCCGACCCTCAAGCTCCAGCCTCCAGGTATTCCCTGTTTCCTTAATTATTTCTTAATTTTCTTTCATTGTTGCATTCTTTAGATTTAAAATTCAGGGTTAATTATAAATTTTTAATTTAAAAAGTCTTTTTAATTGCTATGAAATAGAGTGAATTAATGGTTCTATATGTTATTTGGATGAATTGATTTAAATTTATTATATATCTATATATACAAAACTGAAAATTTAAAAATATTAAAAATAGAAAAATTGATGATTTGATATGAACTTATGATATATATATATATATATATATATATATATAAAATTAAAACTGAAAAAGAAAAAAAATTGACGAATTGATATGAATTTATGATATTGTGTTAATTATAATTTAAATATAATTAGTTTACATATGTTAATTTGTTGATTCAAATTTAGTACGCATATTTAAGGAGTGAAGTATTAAATATACTAATATTTTAAATAATCCGAGGGTTAACGGTACAGCCTGTACTGCTAATATAAAATAAATTAACATAACGGTACTGCACCGTTATGTGTCAGCGGCACCTTCACCATTTGGGATTTGGGAATGGATTTCCCATTTTTGCACTGATTGGGAATTCACCCGTCCTGAGGTATCCTCTTCTTCCTCCTATCCCCTTCTAATCTGTTTACTCCGTTTGTCTCAGCCTCTTTCTACTTCCTTCTCCTTGTCTAAGGCTCTCTTTCATAAATTGTTAGTTTTTTTGGATATGCAAATTTGTGGGCTATTTAGGTTTCCCCCTGACCTCTTCTGTGCTATTTTGTGGGCTGCTTAGGCTATTAAATTGTGCGGTACTGTATGAGCCGGCCAGGTTTCTTCCATTAATTTGTGGCTATTTTAATTTGAGACTTATTATGTTTTATATCTATTTTGTAGGGTGTTATGTGTTTGATTTATTTAAAACTATAATGATTGATATATTTTGTGATTATTTTGAACATAAATACTTGTATCTTACAAAGAAATGAATAATACAAATAAAAAATGCATAAATAAATCTGCCTCACCCATTGCCACACCAGCACCCTTTTTTCTAAAAAAAATTCCGCACCCTCGCACCACAGTTGAGCTTCATAGGGTCAGTTTTTTGAATACTTGTGAACGGAAAAATATTTCTTAGTTAGCTTATTACAAGATAATGTAAAGGTTTTTTTGAGAAAAACATTCCCAACTTCCGTCGATGTTCTAGACTAGATCTGCCCATTGCTCATTGTACTCACCCTAAGTGCCCTTATTACATACTCCGTATTTAATTAATGCATTCTATTCTAATTTTGGATGGGAATTGGGGTGGAAAATATATATGATAGGTCCTACCATTTCACCTAAGCCTTCTCCTTTCAAAACACAACCCACACCCTTGCTCCATTGAATCCTTACAAGGGGTTTCTTCCCATGTTTGGCATTCATAGTCTCTCTAGCCTTCTGCCTTCTTCACATGTTTCATTTCCATTTGATTTTTCTTGTCTTCATGTCTAAAATAATTGGTTACTTGTTAGTATTAAGATCACGAAGCATACATTCAGATCAATTTTGGATGCTTTTTAATTGCATATCACAATGCCCTGTTGATGTATGCTACTTTGTCTTCAATTAATTAATGCATAGTATTTTTCTCATTCAGTTTGGGCTAGAAAACTTGTCACCATATTTTGCCATCGCATTCGCACTCCACTAGAAAAGCGCCTACTCTTGCAGCTATGGCAGGAATACTTGGAGCTCAGGATCAACAACCGTCGCAAAATCAACCTGGGAGGGTGGTGGAGAAGCTTAACCCTGCTGTTCAGCAACAGCTTAACCTGGAATCCGTGAAGACTCGAGCTATTAGCCTTTTCAAAGCCATCTCTCGCATCCTTGAAGACTTTGATGCCATAGCCCGTGCGAATGCTCTTCCTAAATGGTTAGCCACCCTCAACACTACATGTTTCCGAAAGTGGAAAGTTATCTTGCATTCTTAAAGCACTTTGTTTTTGGAATTAATCTTAAATGGAAAAGGTATGCAAATGGGCCATGGGTGCAGTTTGTTGCTATGTATGATTCTTTTTGTGGAACATGTAATAACAGGCAAGATATCTTAGGGCAGTTTTCCATGGTCAATTTGGAGCTGTTTAATATAGTTGAAGACATAAAAAAGGTATCCAAGGCTTTCGTTGTACATCCAAAGAATGTTAATGCCGAAAATGCAACAAGTAATACCTTCTTTACTTCACACTTTTGGCACAATAATTATGTTCTATTCTGGCGTGTTCTTTGGGACTTTTACTTTGTCATCAAACATCTTATGCTTCTTCCTTGCAAGTGCAGTTCTACCTGTTATGTTATCATCAAAGTTGTTGCCTGAGATGGAAATGGAAGATAACTCCAAAAGGGAGCAGTTGCTCATTGGCATGCAAAATCTCCCTGTGGCCTCCCAAATTGAAAAGCTCAAGGTAATTATTTGCTCCGTAGTTTTTTTTATTTTTGATGCTATTAACCTGTTGCATTCGGACTTTTATTCTTCTATTATTTGTAGAGCCGAATTGATATGATCGGAGCAGCTTGTGAAAGTGCTGAAAAGGTTATAGCTGATACGCGTAAAGCCTACTTTGGGACCAGACAGGGGCCAACAATTCTTCCAACTATAGACAAGGCACAAGCTGCAAAAATCCAGGAACAGGAAACTATACTCCGAGCTGCTGTAAACCAGGGAGAAGGTATTACTTTTGATTACTTTTTTCTTGTGTTATTAGATCCTTATTCTTTGACTCTTGTTGTTTTCAATTTATGATACTTTTCAATTTATGTTATGATTTTTGTTGTTTTAGTTAATATAATAGTCACATAAACAGTTGCTTTCCTGCGTATTGGTTTGTTATCTTGAGCTGCTTTACGTTTTTCTGCCACCCTTTGTCTGAACTTTTTTGTTGCACACTTTACACACTAACGGTCATTTTACTATTTTCTTTCTTTTCATATTAGTAATGTATACTCTCAAAAATTTCCTTAACTGGGGGTCTTTACAGAAACATTTTCTCTAGTCTCTAGTAGTCGGAGTAGAGAGGATTGCTTACATCAGTTTGGGCTTTATTGGGATCAAGGGTTGTGATGCATTATATAATTTGACCCCAGTAAAGAAATCATTGGACATTATTTTAAGAGCATTTATTCTTTATTCTCTCAATGCAACAATTAAGCTGCAAGGATTTCTACTTCTCTCAATGATATACGTATATTATAAGGTTCATATCTCATTATACCCAACTTCAGTATTTCTTTAATTCCTAATCATTTGTTAATTTCGTTTAAACTAC